AAATAAAATATTTTATCTTCAATTATGTTCTTTTCCATAAATGTACAATAGCACACAATATGGATGAATAACATACAAAATCACAAACTTTCTTCAAGTATAAGAGAAGCAGCACCAGCCTAGGAGTCTGAAGATTTGGTTTTTGTTCACACATAAAGTTGACGGAAGCTTTTGGGAGTGATGGATATGCTTGATAATGTTTAATATCTTGGTGGCGGTGTTGGTTTCACAGATGTATACATATGTCAAAAGTTAACATGCAGTTTATTGTAAATCATTTATACCTCAGTAAAGCTGTTTAATCTTTTATTTTAATTGAAGTATAGTTGAGTTACAATGTTGTGTTAGTTTCTGGTGTACAGCAAAGTGATTCAGTTATACATATATGTACATATTCTTTTTCCTTTTCTTTTCCATTATGGTTTATTACAGGATATTGAATATAGTTCCCTGTGCTATACAGTAGGACCTTGTTATTTACCTAATTTATATATAGTAGTTTGTATCTGCTAATTCCAAACTCCTAATTTATCCCTCCCCCACTGCCTTTCCCCTTTGCTAACCATAAGTTTATTTTCTATGTCTGAGAGTCTGTTTCTGTTTTGTAAAGAAGTTCATTTGTGTCATATTTTAGATTCCACATATAAGTGATATCATATGGTATTTGTCTTTCTCTTTCTGACTTACTTCACTTAGTATGATAATCTCTAGGTCCATCTATGTTGCTGTAAATGGCATTATTTAATTCTTTTTTATGGCTGAGCAGTATTCCATTATGTATGTATACCACATCTTCTTTATCCATTCATCTATCAATGGGCATTTAGATTGCTTCCATGTCTTGGCTATTGTAAATAGTGCTGCTATGAACATTGGGGTGTATGTACCTTTTTGAATTAGAGTTTTCTCCATATGTATGCCAAGGAGTGGGATTGCTGGATCATATGGCATTGATTTTTAGTTTTTTTAAGGAACTTTCATACTGTTTTCCATAGTAGCTGCACCAATTTACATTCCCACCAACAGTGTAGGAGGGTTCCCTTTTCTCCACACCTTCTCCAGCATTTGCTATTTGTAGACTTTTTAATGGTGGCCATTCTGACCAGTGTGAGATGGTATCTCATTGTAGTTTTGATTGGCATTTTTCTAATAATTAGCAATGTTGAGTATCTTTTCATGTGCCTATTGGTCATCTGTGTGTTTTCTTTTTTTTTTTTTTTTGTATGTCTTCTTTGAAGAAAAGTCTATTTAGGTCTTCTGCCCATTTTTTGATTTTTTTTGTTGTTGTTGTTATTGAGTTTTATGAGCTGTTTGTGTATTTTGGAAATTAAGCCCTTGTCAGTCGCATCTTTTGCAAATATTTTCTCCCATTCTGTAGGTTGTCTTTTTGTTTGTTTTTTGTTTGTTTCCTTTTCTGTGTGAAAGCTTATAAGTTTGATTCGGTCCTATTTGCTTATTTTTGCTTTTATTTCTATTGCCTTGGGGGACTGACCTAACAAAACATTGGTGTGATTTATGTCAGATAATGTATTGCCTATGTTCTCTTCTAGGAGTTTTATGGTGTCATGTCTTGTATTTAAGCCTTTAAGTCATTTTGAGTTTATTTTTGTGTGTGGTGTGAGGGTGTGAGGGCAGCCACATGTAAATCAACTTTATTGATTTACATGTGGCTACCCAGCTTTCTCTGCTGAAGAGACTGTCTTTTCTCCATTGTATAGCCTTGCCTCCTTTGTCAAAGATTAATTGACCATAGGTGTGTGGTTTATTTCTGGGCTCTCTGTTCTATTCCATGGATCCATATTTCTGTTTTTGTGCCAATACCACACTATTTTGATTACTGTAGCTTTGTAGTATTGTTTGAAGTCTGGGAGGGTTATGCCTCCTGCTTTGTTCTTTTTCCTCAAGATTGCTTTGGCAATTCTGTGTCTTTCAAGGCTCCATATAAATTTTTGAGTTATTTGTTCTAATTCTGTGAAAAATGTCATGGGTAATTTGATAGGGATCACATTAAATCTGTGGATTGCTTTGGGTAGTATGGCCATTTTAACAATATTAATTTTTCCAATCCAAAAGCATGGGATATCTTTCCATTTCTTTGCATCATCTTCAGTTTCCTTTATCAATGTTTTATAGTTCTTTCATCTCCTTGGTCAGGTTTGTTCTTAAGTTTGTTTGTTTTTTTTTATGTGATTTTAAAAGGGATTGTTTTTTTCTTTCCCTTTCTGATATTTCATTGCTAGTGTAAAGAAATGCAACAGATTTCTGTATGTTAATCTTGAATCCTGCTACCTTGCTGAATTTGTTTATCAGTTCTAGTAGCTTTTGTGTGGAGTCTTTAGGGTTTTCTATACATAGTATCATGTCATTTGCATATAATGACAGTTTACCTCTTCCAATTTGGATACGTTTTATTTCTTCTTGTCTGATTGCTATGGCTAGGACTTCCAATACTATGTTGAATAAAAGTGGTGAGAGTGGGCATCCTTTCTTTGTTCCATATTTTAGTGGAAGCCTTTTCAACTTTTCACTGTTCAGTATTATGTTGTCATATATAGCTTAAAAAGCTGTTTAAAATGTTTATGGAGTGACCAGAATGTCATCTGTTAAGAACTAAAGCTAAAAGAAGATGCAAATTATGTTTAGTGCAGACTCAACATAGAAAATGAGTAGTAAATCTCTAACAAAGTACCCAGCTCATAATAAATGCCCATCACAATAGTTTTTGAATGTATAAATGAATGAATAAATTTGAATGTATTGCCATATGTCCCATATAGGTCCTTTGAAATGACTTGTATATCAACCAGTAATTTTTTTTTTCATCTCACCTGATTCTATCTCATTTAAACTTAAAAGTCCTGGCCAAGGATCCAGCAAGTGAAATAATTTCCTTTAATAAAGACTTAAGTTTACTTTCTATGTATTTCCTTAAAGAACCTCTGGCACATATATTAATAGCAGATCTTATAAGCTCTGCAAAGTGGCATTGTTATGGAATACTTAGATGAGTGGATTCTCTTTAATCTAAATAATATTGAAAACATTTACATAACTATAAACTTTAGTATTAGAAAGAAGCCCACGGTGATTGAACACATACTACTTCCCTAAATTATTATCTCCATTAATCCTCACAATATTAGTTGAAAGAGGTATTACCCTCTTTACTGCTGCAGGAACTGAGGGTCTGGGAAGTTAAGTAAATTGCTCAAGGATAAATAGTAGGTAGTAGAGTGAAGATTCAAATCCAAGTCTTTGGATTCCATGAAGAGGGTTCTGTCTCCTTGTGCTTGCCAAGTCCCAGGCATTAGAAGTAAAAGGAAATACAAAGATGAGTAAGGCATAGTCCCTGCCCTCTAGAAGCTTAGAAGCCAACTGGTCAGTTAGAAACGTAAGTGGATAGTTGAAATAAGTTCTAACTTCTTTGTGTACTGGAGAGTTATCCAGTCTCCTGGAGTAGCTGCAGCTTAAGGTGGACATCACATCCCAGGTCTCTTTCTCAGTTTAGCATTATTTTATTTTATAGTATTTATAAGTTTTAGTTTCTTTATGAAGATTAACTCATATAATTCTCATTTAACAATGCTATGAGAGGGCTTCCCTGGTGGCGCAGTGGTTGAGAGTCCGCCTGCCAATGCAGGGGACATGTGTTCGTGCCCCGGTCCAGGAAAATCCCACATGCTGCGGAGCGGCTGGGCCCATGAACCATGGCCGCTGAGCCTGCGCGTCCGGAGCCTGTTGCTCCGCAACGGGAGAGGTCACAACAGTGAGAGGCCCGCGTACCGCAAAAAAAACCCCAAAAAAACAAAAACCCCCACAATGCTATGAGGTAGTCACTATTATATCCCCATTTTACAGATGTGAAAATAAGGTACAGGTAAGTTAAATAACTTATCCAAAGTCACACAACTAGTAAGTGGCAATGCTAGGATTTAAATCCAAGCAGTCTGGCTCAAGAGTCTATATTTCAGCCACTAGATTATGTTGCCTCTAAACCTTTCTAGACTCAGAAAAATTAACATTAGCATCCACCAAAGTGATCTGATTCTAGGACATTGACCCATTAGGTGCCATCTTATTGCTTAACAATGAACAATATAACTGTCAAGTAGACTGGATACACTTGTTTGTTTATTACGCTCTCTCTAGGCAATTCTACCTAAGAAGGCAATTTATAATCAAAGGCTTGTTGGTGTGCTTGGAATTAGATCAAGGGGAATTACTGGCTGATCTTAAGGATCTTCTGATTCCATTTTCACTATAAGGTTATATCTGTGGCAATCATCTCCCTGGGCAATACTGAAGGCATACTGCTTTTGAGACTCTTTCTAAACTTAGGATGATGACCAATCCTCCTCAAAGTTTGAAATACTCTTTAGACATTTGTGTTAGTCAAAATCCCTCTATTTTTAAGTGTGGAGAGTCCCAACTCAAATAAACTTTAGCACAAATGGGAATTTTTTGACTCATGTCCCTGGAAAATGAAGAGGTGGATGTGGCTTCTCATATTTTCTCTCAAATGAAATCATCCTCCAGATTTCTTTTTCTATCTGTGTCCCTCACCCTCCACAACTCTTGGCTTTGCTTACCTCTGTGTGTTGACCTTATTCATTCCTACAGAAAGATACTTATTGGGCCATGCTGGGTCACCTATTCTGTTTTCGATCAATCAATATAGTCAAGAGAATGAGATACTCTTGTTTGGTTGGGTTTGGTTCACTTGTCCATCTGTGTGGCCTTGGGGTTTGAGTTTGCTTGATAATCTCACCAGGGGAACAAGTTGGAGGGAAGGAGGATACATTCCTCAAAGGAAGTAAGGATGATGTACAGACAAAAACAATAGGATCAGTAAACCGTATTGTAGCCTAAGATAAGAGAAAAAAATAGTTAAAACTAATTCTATCCTTGTTTAAAATCTTGATGGGTTCATCATGGATTTTTTGCCTTAATTTTGATTTTTAAAATATTGCATTAAATATTATTTATCTTGATTTTTTCAGTTTTTTGGCATCCCTTAAATTTTACATTAAGGGCAGATGTCTCACTCGCCAGGCTTCCTCACCCTAGACCTGGTCCTACCATGAAGAGTCAACTTACTTCACAGATTAACATGGTGTCTGACTCAAAGTAAGTGCTCAATAAATGTTTGCAAAATGAATAGATTTATGAATAAATTGAAAAGTTTAGTCACTGAGATGTATGATAAAGCTACTGTCAATTCTATCATTTTTTAATATACAAAAGTACACATTTTATAAACTTATGTTAAGCAAACATAAGAGACTGAATGATAATCAGAATGCCGTTTTAAAAGTTTGCAGTTAGAAATGTGAGACAGTAAACTTCTTGGAGGGAGGGGTAGAAGAGTAGAAAGGTTACTAATGTTTGTTGCGACCTTATACTGTGGATGTACTATCCACTATGTGAGGCATTTTGGATGTGTCATTACATTTAATACAAGTCTATGAGGTTGATATTTTTGTGTTGTTTAAATAAGGAAACTAAAGCTCAGACAGACTTGCTCTATAACTGATAAGTGACAGAGAAAGGATTTTTTAAAATAAATTTATTTATTTTATTTTTATTATTTATTTTTGGCTGCATTGGGTCTTCGTTGCTGCACGCGGGCTTTCTCTAGTTGCAGCGAGCGAGGGCTGCTCTTCATTGCGGTGCGTGGGTTTCTCATTGCGGTGGCTTCTTTTGTTGCGGTGCATGGGCTTCAGTAATTGCAGCACGCGGGCTCAGTAGTTGTGGCGCACAGGCTTAGTTGCTCCACGGCGTGTGGGATCTTCCCGGGTCCCCTGCATTGGCAGGTGGATTCTTAACCACTGCGCCACCAGGGAAGCCCAGCAAAAGGATTTTAATCAAGGTCTTTCTGTCTAAAACACCCTTATTCTGGCTGCTGTGTTTGTTGGAGGCAAGGTAAGCTAGAGGGGAAGAAAAAGAGAAAAATATAGTGGTATCTGTCCACAGTGTCAAGCTCATGTCTTATACATAAGCACTAAGATATAATTATGAAACAAATGTGTAATAAATAAAATAACTCGCAATTGGTCTAGATAAATTAGTTATCTTGGCTAACTAAGGCATTATTCCCTTCTGAATTCTACTTTTTTTTCATTTAAACACAGAAAAGAAATAACTTGTCTCTTCTCCACACTCCCCAAAGCTAAAAGTAATTCACAATTATGGATAGTGGTCTGAGAACATTCGACACCCACCTCTCACCTAAAATCCAGAAAGAGGCGTGTGTATGTGTGTGTGTAACACACAAAATATGTACATGCATTCATTCTTTCATGCATTCAAAATATACAGTATTTATTGGATACTTACTATTTCCGTGGGACTGTTTTACATTTCTACATGCTACACACACACACACACACACACACACACCCCTGTGTGTGTGTGTGCATATCAACTTGTAATAGCCTGGAAAAACGAGAAAGAACTTTATCAGAAACATTGAGAAGTTCCTAAGAGATCTAAGACGGAATCAGATATATCTAGGAACAAAAATAAATAAAACCACAGGGACTTCGTTGGTGGTCCAGTGGCTAAGACTCTGCACTCCCAATGCCAGGGGCCCGGGTTCAAATCCTGGTCAGGGAACTAGATCGCACATGCTGTGACTAAGAGTTCACATGCCGCAGCTAAAAGATCCTGCATGCTGCAATGAAGGTCCCGCATGCTACAATGAAGGTCCCGCGTGCCACAACTAAGACCCAGCACAGCCAAATAAATAAATACTAAAAAAAAAAAAAAAAAAAAACACAGTCCAAAAACTTCAGGAGAAGACGGTTATACAGATAGGACTTTGGTATCATACCAACTCCAGACTCAATGGATAAAACAAGCGAGATGGACAAGCCCTGGACGTTCATAAAAGTTATTAACTGAGGGGACGTAAAAGAAGTAACTAGGCTGGTTGACCACCAACTGTCTCCCACTCCTCCACTAAACAGCAAGTGGTAGCAATGCTTATTCATTGGTTAAAAAAGAATTGTGGACACTGAAGCCAGAGAGAGAGGGCCATGCTGCCTCAGCTAGCTCCTGACCACCGAGAGCTCCTGACCTCAGAAAAGAAGTCATTAAGACACTCTTCCTAGTAGCATATCCCTTCCCTTTAGTTAAGAAAAGGCAAGCTAGTATAACATATATTGAATTTATTGAGCAGGAAACTAAGGATTAACAGATACAAAGATAAACAGATATAAGAATCATCAAAATTTTGTAAAAAACCAGCCCCATATAAGAAAAGCACTGAACTCAACAAACAGAAGGACTAAACACTCAAGGAAAGCGGGTTTATAGATGATCTGTTAATAGAAGAGAGATAGTTGAAGAATAAATTGAGTGGAAGATAGAGGCTGAGGAACTTTTCCTTATTCATTTCAAAAGACAAAGAAAAGTTAATAGATCTAGAAGTTTCAATATTTATGTAATAGAGGCACTAGGAAGAGAGAAAGAGAGAATGCAGAGGAAAAAATAATGATAAAAGTGTATTTCTCAGAGTTTAAGAAAGATGCAAGTCTTTAAGTTGAAAATGTTAACCAAGATGAATGAAACAGAACCAACACTTAGACTCGTCATGGTGAAATTTTAGAACACTAGGGATAAAGATAAAGTCCTAAAGGCTTACAAAGGAATAAACAGGTTAAGCTCAAAGCAATGAGAATCCGTGTGGCATCAGATTCCTCACTGGCAACACTGCTGGAAGACAACATAACAATATCTTCTAAGATCTGAGGAAAAACGATACTGAGAAAAACTAGCTTTCAAGTGAGAGTACAAAATATTTTCGCATACCCAAAGATTCAGAAATTTTACCCCTCGCCCCCCAGACCTTCACTGAAATAATTATTTGGGGATGTACCCTAGCAAATGAACGATGAATCCAAGAAAAAGGAAGATGTAGGATTTAGGAACTAATGTGAGGGGGAGACTGGGTAGGCTTGAGGTACAGTGTATTCTGGATTACTACTAATGACCTTGTATCCTAGACCTCCAACACCACACCAAATAGGACCCATTCCAATTCTAGATGGTACTTAAGATTTTCATCACCAACAAGCTTCCCTTCAAAAAATATAATCAGAAATTTTTTTGGCCATAAGGGACTTTACCAACTCAGAACTAAACTCTGGAATATGGCTTTACTCTATTGTTTCTTATAGGGTTAGAGTTAAGAAAGTCACATTTGCTATGAAAATAATTACATATTATTTTATGCATCACCATATTTTGCCAATTGCAAAAGTTTGGATTAAAAGGTGGTTCTTTCTCATAGAGGCATATAAAGATGGGAACTGGTATAGCAAAATGTTCTGTGATGTCATACCCATCTGGGTTTGAATTATGACTCTGAGATTTGATCTTGAGAAATATATTTAGCCTCTCTGAACCTCAGTTTATTTACACATAAGGATAATCAGACCTACCTCTCAGGTTTGTATAAGGATTTAAGAAGTTAAAATACGTAAAGTAGCATGGTGTGCCAAGAGTTTCAACCCTGGTTGCATATTAAAATCCAGGGGGCTTTTAAAAACTATAGATGCTCAAGCCCCACCCCTAGAGATCTGGTTTCAGTTGGTTCCAGGTTGGTATATATATATATATATATATTTTTTTTTTTTTTTTTTTTTGGTACACGGGCCTCTCACTTTTTTGGCCTCTCCTGTTGCGGAGCACAGGCTCCAGACGTGCAGGCTTAGCAGCCATGGCTCACGGGCCTAGCCGCTCTGCGGCATGTGGGATCTTCCCAGACCGGGGCACGAACCCGTGTCCCCTGCATCGGCAGGCGGACTCTCAACCACTGCGCCACCAGGGAAGCCCTCCAGGTTGGTATATTTTAAAAGCTTCCCAAGACCTAAATAGACATTTCTACAAAGAAGACATACAGATGGCCAAGAGGCACATGAAAAGATGCTCAACATCACTAATTATTAGAGAAATGCAGATCAAAACTACAATGAGGTATCACCTCACACCGGTCAGAATGGCCATCATCAAAAAATCTACAAATAGGGCTTCCCTGGTGGCGCAGTGGTTGAGAGTCCGCCTGCCAATGCAGGGGACATGGGTTCGTGTCCCGGTCCGGGAAGATCCCACATGCCGCGGAGCCTGTGCGTCCGGAGCCTGTGATCCGCAACGGGAGAGGCCACAACAGTGAGAAGCCCGCATACAGCCAAAAAAAAAAAAAAAAAAAAATCTACAAACAATAAATGCTGGAGAGGGTGTGGAGAAAAGGGAACCCTCTTGCACTGTTGGTAGGAATGTAAATTGATACAGCCACTATGGAGAACAGTATGGAGGCTCCTTAAAAAACTAAAAATAGAACTACCATATGACCCAGCAATCCCACTATTGGGCATGTATGCAAAGGAAACCATAATTCAAAAAGACACATGCACCAGTGTTCATTGCAGCACTATTTACAATAGCCAGGACATGGAAGCAATCTAAATGTCCATCGACAGATAAATGGGTAAAGAAGATGTGGCTCATACATACAATGGACTATTACTCAGCCATAAAAAAGAATGAAATTGGGTCATTTGTAGAGACGTGGGTGGACCTAGAGTCTGTCATACAGAGTGAAGTAAGTCAGAAAGAGAAAAACAAATATCATATTTTAATGTATATATGTGGAATCTAGAAAAATGGTACAGATGAACCTATTTTCAGGGCAGGAATAGAGATGCAGACATAGAGAACAGATGTGTGGACATGGTGGGGAGGGGAAGGGGAGTAGGATGAACTGGGAGATTGGGATTGAGATATATTCATTACCATGTGTAAAATAGATAGTGGGAACCTGCTGTATAGCACAGGGAGCTCAGCTCAGTGCTCTGTGGTGACCTAGATGGGTGGGATTGGAGTGGGGGGAGGGAGGTCCAAGAGGGAGGGGTTATATGTATACATACACCTGATTCACTTCGTTGTACAGCAGAAACTAACACAACATTGTAGAGTAACCATACCCCAATTTTTAAAAATAAATTAAAAAAAAATAAAATACAGGCTTCCCAGGTGATTCAAATAGTGGGTTGGCCAAAAAGTTTGTTAGGATTTTTCCATAACATCTTACAGAAAAACCCGAACAAACTTTTTAGCCAACCCAA